TGGGCTTTGATTGCTTCTCTGATGCTGTGCATACCCCACTGATTTCCCTATCTGGAGAACATTGAACTGCATTATCATTACTATCACTAAAGCTCCTTGAAACAGTTTTTCCCTGGCCAACCCTGTCAATTGCGGGATTACCCCCTTCCAATGAATCACAAGAACCTCTGGCATCTTTCTGTAAACAACTATTATAATCATTATGGCAATTCAACTGCTTTAACAAATGAGTTTGGTTGAACCCATTATCCTCATGGCTAGAAGGGGTGTGACAAATGCAGGGTTCAATCTCCCTCTCACTACCTTCACATCGCCAGAGCTCTTCAAAAACAGAGAATATATCATTTGATTTTGGAGGAACATTAGAAAATTCTTCAATACCATGGATATTCAATGACTTAACTGCCTGCAGGATCAACTCAGCTTTTCTTAACTCCGTCATATCCAGAGTGCCAAACCTTGACCTTAAGAAAGTTTCAACATCTGTTATCAGCTTGTTCAACTGACAATATTTATCTTCAAGAGCTAGTTTTGCATCGATCAGCTTCATCTGGACCCGTTCTTCACGCCAAACCTCTGCCATCTGGAACATCTTCCTCTCTTCTTCCACTTCTGCAATAATTTTCTTTGATTCTCTCTTCAATGCCTCAACTTCAGCCTTGTCTTCTCCAATTTGTTCAGCTAGTTCATTAGAAATTTCTTGCATGAGTTTTCTGCTCTTTTTCTCTTCCTCATATTTTTTCATGAAATGCTCCGCAGAGAACTTGGCACCTGCTAATTGATTTATCAGATTGGTGTTAAGGTTTTCCATCTGCTGACGACTTTTCCTTTCCCTACCTAATTTTTCCTTCAATTCGTCAAGAGCACGATTTTTCTGCTGTGCTCTGCTCTTCCAATAGATTCTTTCCTCTTCTAGCTTCCTCAAAAAATGTTTGACTTTCTGCTTAAGGGACTGCCGCTTAGCTTCCAGCGCAAGAATACACAATCTAGCTTCCGTTAGTTCTGCATTCATTGTCGAAACAACAGAGCCAGTAGTAACTGGCCTATCTTTGAGAAGCTTCACTTGGTTGTAAACACGATAGATGTCATCAAATTCTTTTGAGCCGCCAGAGCTCCATTTTGTTTCCCTGTTTGATGCACATTCGGGATATGGCGAAGACGGTTCAAGCTAGAAAATCAAAAGAAAATGAAACATAAATACTAGAAGTTTATAATTTAGGTATTGAAGCTTGAAATCTTAATAATTAGATAAGTCAAAGTTGTATAACACATTAGGTTGCTGAGCCGCAATTTTGTTGTTGAGGCTAAGGGCAGTTTTTGCATAACTGAGACAAGCAGCTTATAGTTTGACAAAAGATCAATCCTTTCCTTGCCCAATGATGAGTTCAAGATTAATATATTCAATTTCAAGGCATGAACCATAATGACTGATTTCCCTGTTTGATGCACATTCGGGATATGGCGAAGACGGTTCAAGCTAGAAAATGAAAAGAAAATGAAACATAAATACTAGAAGTTTATAATTTAGGTATTGAAGCTTGAAATCTTAGTAATTAGATAAGTCAAAGTTATATAACACATTAGGTTGCTGGGCCGCAATTTTGTTGTTGAGGCTAAGGGCAGTTTTTGCATAACTGAGACAAGCAGCTTATAGTTTGACAAAAGATCAATCCTTTCCTTGCCCAATGATGAGTTCAAGATTAATATATTCAATTTCAAGGCATGAACCATAATGACTGATTTCAAAGTCTTAAAATCTATGTAAAACCTCTAACACTTTGACAAAACAAAATTGGCTTTAAGATCTGAACCCAAAATTGAACATATCCAAATGATACCAATGCAGTCATTCTCTCTGAAGTTCCTATAATAACCATTTCATATGCAAAATTATACATTTCAAATAAACAAACACATAGCAGAGTTCAAACTCACAGTGGCAGTCACATAACAGAGTCAAAAACTAAACTTTTACAAAAACGACATGAAAATCGAAGCAGAAATACCTGAAGCTGAGGCGGGGGAGGATCAGAAGGGCCAGAATTGAACTTGAGGTCTTGATCCCCTGAAATTTCGTTAAAGCGCAATTGCCAGAGCCCCGCTGCGAGCTTCCGAGCGGAGGCCCGGACGACACCGGTGGTTTTGTCGTTGTCGAACTTCCACTGAAGAAATGGACTCGACGGGGGTCCGAAATTCCGGCGCCGGTGCGCCCAAGCTTTCCGGCGACGGGAATGGGCACCGCCTGACAGGTTCATTAGGTGGTCATCCGAGTCTCGGTTTTTGTGTGCTTTGTTTGTTGTTGTGAGTGAGAGTGGTTCCAATCCTTTTATAAGGAAAGGAAGGATGGTTCATTGTCTACGTGTCTGTTTTTACATTATTTTTTCCAAAACCTGGAGAGTATACTATTATTTATACAAAAATAATGTATAGAAACTTAGGGTTAAAATTCAAAAATCTGTCCAAATGATTTCCTACATCAATATATTAAGATGTGACAAGACTATAATGTGGAGCTTGAATTGAACCCATCACGTTTGCAGTGCTAAGTTGCTAACTAATAGAATTAAATTTCCTTTTAAAAATGTTAGGAAAAATACGGTTTGCAGGTTTGCAGCTGATTATCCAAAATCTCAAATGTAATTAGTCACTTTAATGTAATGCTGCCATTATTAATTATTTATTACTGGGTAGTCATGGGAATACGGTAATAATACAACGTTTAAATAATATTCAATTTTAAAACTGGATGATAGTGTGTCCATGTAAGTTGAGTTATTTACAAAAAAAAAGATAATAGGTACGTTATCCACAAAAACATCCTAGATGCATTAAAAATGATAGGTATATTCATTTATACATAAGATAATAATGATGTCATACAAATTTAGCAATAAATTGAATAGCAAACTTTTTGAGAGTATATTCATTCCCTCTATTATTATTATTGATGATGTTGGTGATGGCAATGGGAGTGGGAGTGAAGAAGTTGTGTTTGTAACATATTAAGATGTGCGTGGTGGTGTTTATTTCTTTAACAGGGTGTATATACTCTTTAATATTTATACAAATATTTTAATAGTATAGCCATGCGGTCTTTAAATATATAAGAATATTTAAAAATATACTCTTTAAATATATATATATATATATAGAGGGACATTCTCCAACAAGTATTTAAGTTAAGGATTTGTTATATACTTCTAATCTTGGGTATTGGAATGCATCTAAGAGGCTATCAACACATTTAATGAATGTAATCCAACGCCCAAGATTAGAAGTATGTTTCCTCCTTTTATATAACCTTCTCGAATTATATCCCTTTGATATTGATCGTTATTTAAGTTGTTTCTTACTTGCTACATTCGTACGTTCATTATTTTTAGGGCTTGTCCAATATAGATCCCTACAATTTCTATTTCCTAGACATATACCCATCATTATATAGCCCGGCTATACTCGTTAGATTGATTCGAATATTTTAATCGTATAGCAGAGCGGCTATACTATTTAAATATATACGAATATTTTAATAGTAACGCCGGGCGGCTATACTCAATAGATATGTACGAATATTTTAATAGCATAGCCGAACGGCTATACGGTTTAGATTTATTCAAATATTTAAATAGTATAGCCGCTCGGCTCGACGCTTTAGATTTATTCAAATATTTTAATACTATACCTGCGCGGCTATACTCTTTAGATTTATTCGAATATTTTAATAGTTTAGCCGCGCGGCTATACGATTTAAATGTATAAGAATATTTTAATAATACAGCCGCGCGGCTATACTATTTAAATATTTGCGAATATTTTAATGGTACAGCCACCCAGCTATACCTTTTAAATATATATAAATATCTAAAAATATATTTTTATATATTATCTTTATACCATTAAATATTCGAATATTTAAAAATATATATTCAATTCTATACTCTTTAAACATATTCAAATATTTTAATAGTATAAAGATAAGAGATAAATATATTTGCGCCATTTGTGGAGTCATGCATCAAACTTGTGGCTGCAAAACACGTACTCCGTCACTACGATTTATTGTCCCGAGAGAAGTAAAGTTTGTCGGTCAAGATTTTGCCGCGAAAGACTAATTTTCTTGTAGTATATCTCAATTAAGATAGCAAGGAGAGAGCAAGAGGCTTATAACTTAAGTGGTTAAGAGCATTTACCCTTGTATATAAGCCCTATATTCGATTCCCTCTCCCTAATATCGCTTGTATAAAATTTAAAATATATATAAAAGATAGTAAATAGAGAGAGGGAGTTGGGTTAAATATGATGATATGGCGTTAAAGCGAGCCAAGTGGAAAAAAGGAGTGTGAAGCTATTGTTGTTTAAAGAAGAATGAAAAGGGGTTTATATATTGTTGTTGACCAACTACGTACGAAGTAGGTGAAGGTTTCAAAGACCAATAATATAGAGATTGACTAATTAAACCCTAAAGTCAAGGATTCCATTTGCATACTTATGTTCACACTCTTCCTTGTCCGATCCCAAATATTCCATTTCAAAAGCCAATTCACACTCCAAAATTGACAATATTCTCCCTGGAACTGGTGTAGGGTTTGACCACTCTGATTCTCTAGAATTTCAAGTCGTAGAAGCCATGCAATTACCAGCCAGCCAGCCAGCTACCTCAACACACACGTCACGTCACGCCACGCCACACGTATTAGAATTAGACCAAACCAAATTAAACAGCTCCATATATATATATTCAAGCAGCTAAGCTAAGCCCAGCCGCGCGCTAATTAACTTCTGGTCGTAGACCCCCTAGACCCCAAAAACAAAGAAAAATTTAACCATGTACGGCCCTTTATATATGTACTATATTCATGCATGTAATTTCCTGGAGGTTGCAATAATATTGTAATTTTTTGTGACGGTCTCACCCCGCCAACTCTACCTACCTTTTCTCTGCTATATATAACACAAACCTCCCCATTGCCAAACTCTCTCTTCTTCTCTCAACAGCCTCAATTAGTTTCTAAAGCTATATAAGCTTAATTATATCTAGTTTAATTAAGCTTAGCTAGCTAGAATGGGAAACTGTTTGAGGTGTGATTCGGCGACGGTATGGGCCGGCGGCGACGAGGACGACTGGGTCGACATTAGTTCTCAGCTACAGCTGCAGCCTTGTGATGATTGTAAAAATAGTAATAAGAAGAAGAAGAAGAAGAAGAAGGCGTACAACCACTTGGTCGAAAAGCAGAGGCTTCTTGATGAGATAAGATCATCAGCTTCATCATCTTCAACTTCAACTAATGGAGATCAGGTGAAGATCAAGATTGCTAAGAAGGAGCTGGATGAGTTGGTGCATGGAGGAAACCTGCAAGGTCTTTCGTCTGTCGAACAACTCTTAGATCGCCTCTTGAAGATGAACGGCCCTGATGAGGATCAGAACTTCTATGAGATGGATCATCAACGGCCCTGGAGGCCAGTCCTCCAAACTATTCCAGAGTATTAAGGACTAATTAGGATAAGGCCCATTTTTTATTTTTATTTTTTGTCTCTCATTTATTATTACTATTCTTTTTTCTTTTAATTTTGTGTTTAGAGATTCAGATTTGTCACCCTCTTTTACATTGCATATATAATAGAGAATAGTTTTCCTTGGTATATATGTTATTTTGGACTGGTCCATATCATGCGCACAATCTAATTGGGCTGCTCAGTCCAATATCATTATAGGCTTCATCCAGAATAATATGTCTCACAAGTCCTACTTGGGCTTAGCTTAGCTTAGTCTTGTGTTTGATTTTGGTATTGTTCGATTGGGAAAAATTAATTTTAGAAAAACAACTTTATCATTATTATTTTATTCTAATGGGGAATGAGGAATCGAACTTAGGACCTCGGATATATAAGTAAATACTTTTAACCACTTGTTTATTTTGTTGGTTTTGAGCTTGAGTGAAGAAAGATTCATCCGAGTGTTGGAAACTTTATTCCATGTCTTTCCTTTTGTCACTAAGGGGGAACGGGAGGTACATTGTTCATTGGGCTAGGCTTGCTAGCTAGGAGTCTATTCATAACCAGTGAAAGTTGATGTTAGCTTGATGCTTTCCACCTTTGTATTTTATTATCCTTAATTGTTCTTTAATCATGCAATGCTTATTGTCGAAGACAAGCAGTGAATTCCCTCCTTGGAAGACATATCCACATCAATTATGCTAATCATTTTCATATGCTTTCCCAAGTTAACACTTAACGAATTTTTAAAGTGTTAACGTACATTATAACGAATCATAAAATCATGACAAAGATAGATTGATTATCAAAAGATACAATATCAAGTTTTGAACTTTATTCTCAAACCCAATTCACTGATTTCATGTTAAAAAATATAGATTGTTTTATTAAATTCAGATCCTTTTATGAATGGCCAGAAGAAGGTCAAAATTTAAAAGGGTAATGCTAGGCTTACCACATTTTTCATACCACATTCATACCACCTCTCTAATAGAGGTGGAGCCCACTAATACAATGGGGCCCACCTCTATTAGAGAGGTGGTATGAATGTGGTATAAAAAATGTGATAAGCCTAGTATTTTTCAATTTAAAATGAAAATAGTATTTAATGACTGCTCAAGCTTATTGCCTACACAAATAAGCACCAGAATTTTTTTGAGCAATGGCCGCTTTAATTATCCCTTGGCCGCTTTAATTATCCCAACAACCACTACCACAGTGCCAGCCCTAGCCTTGTATAAAAGTAGGCCATTGGAGCTTTCGCACTTGTGAGAGACACGAACCAATGGAGCAGGTCATCACTGCCACAGGTGTCACGCGTGCCAAATGGCTGGTGTAGAAAGTAGGAGTTGGCCATTGGGGAGAAAAAGGCAATGGGTGGCGTTAATGCGCCAGTGCTCTTCTATCTCAGTTTTCTGGTCAGTGTGGGGCCTACCTATTCTCTCCCAAGCAAGACAGCTATTACTCTCACACTGCTTCTGGCCCCACCCCACTTTGAAGCTCATTCATGGCTTCTCTCTACTCTGTCTCTATCTCTCATATCTTCCTGTTTTCACAATGTCTCCTTTATTTTCTCACATACGCCAAACCATTCTCTGAGAAATTCCAAGGCAGATACTTGCAAGCTGAGTTTCAGTCCTTCATCTATCTCCTTCTCTCTCTGTTTTTCTTCAGTTTCACTCCACTTGGTTGTAGTCTTTTGTGATGGTTTCACTATTTGGGGGTAAGGAAATTGAAGGCATGAAGGAAATGGTGTCTCTGAAGCTCACCGTCCCTATATTTATGTTGTTCCTATGTGAGTATTCATATGTTTCTTGTTGATTTCTTTACTGGGTTCTGCTTAATTTTGCATGATCTTGAGTTTTGTCTTCTGGGTCATTATTAAAGTTGCTTTATTTTGAAGAATGTAACTGGGTTTTGGGAAAATCTCGTGATTTTTATAGGGGGCAGGGGAAATGGGTTTCGAATAATTTGACCTTTGGTATTTTTGTGCAACTCAGATTCTGTGAAAGGCTCTAGATTTTGATTTCAGTTTCCAAGGATATGGTGCATTTGGCTCTCAAAGTGATTAAACTCCTATTCTCCTCAATCTCCTAATGTGTTGCTTGTTATAAGCCACAGCTTCACTTCCACTACTATTTAGTTCTTTAGTCACTTGTTAGAATGAACTAAAAATATCCCAGGTTTAGGGCAGTGTTGAGATTTTGATTGCTGTTCGAGTTGGTATAGGTTTGCTCTTATAACTTTGTATGACATACATTAGTATGGAACTGCGGAATTAAGATTTCACCCTAATCGCCATCATTGCTAGATTTTGGACACTATTGAGGCACATTACTTGCCTTTGGTTGAAGTATTCATTGCTAAGCAGTTCTAGGATTTATGATAGTTTGTATATAATGCCTTTTATCTCATTCTTTTTCGTTTTTGACTTCCTCTTAGTTACCTCAACAATACTAGTTGATTTAAGGCTTTAGAACTACTGATCGAAAAATTCATGAACCAACATGAGTTGGTCCAAGTGGAAGGGGCTTGGATCCTTTAAACAAGAGGTCCTGGGTTCGATCCCAGGCACTTGCGAATAGAGCAGACTCTGTCGGGAGAGGTCCCCGCTTTGCGCCTGACCGTACCTTGAGGGATTTAGTCTCCGCAGTCGCGCGGGGATACCCTGGGAAACCAAAACCAAAAAAAATTCATGAAGAAACTATCCATCTAAATGTTTCTGATAGTAATCTTTGTAAATGATTTGTTTTATAGGTCTCCATATATGTTGTGGCAGCACGTTAACTTATGTTAAAGATCCAGTCTTGACGATTAAACAAGAAGATTCTATGTTACCGATGATCTCTCCTACAGGGACTCCTCAGCCCTTTCTTCCCCTTCTGGCTCCTTCACCACTGGCACCATTCACAAATGCCACTGTCCCAAAATTATCAGGTTCCTCCCGCCCTCCTTAATTTCTCTAGTTAAATTAGATTCCCCAACGCATTTTTTGGTTAAGATCTGAAGTTATATATTTTCGTGTTGATCTGTGGGTGCAGGACTCTGTACGCTAAACTTCAGTGTTGCTGAGAGTTTGATGAGTGTGACCTCAGTTGATTGTTGGTCGGTTTTTGCACCACTGCTCGCTAATGTAATTTGTTGCCCACAGTTGGAAGCCACTCTCACAATTCTCCTTGGTCAATCCAGTAAAGAGACCAATGTTCTTGCTTTAAATGGGACGGTTGCTAAACATTGTCTATCAGATATTGAGCAGATTTTGGTGGGCCAGGGTGCAAATGACAGTCTTGCACAAATATGCTCGGTTCATTCATCAAATCTGACTTATGCATCTTGCCCAGTCATTGATGTTAATGAGTTTGAGGATACAGTTGATACTTCCAAGTTGCTTGCCGCTTGTGAGAAGATTGACCCTGTGAAAGAATGCTGTGCTCAAACTTGTCAAAATGCCATATTAGAAGCTGCTACGAGGATCGCATCAAAAGCTTCTGATCTTTTGAGCACGGATGGTGCTCATGATATCTTACCTGATGGAGTAAGTAAAGTCAATGACTGCAAAAGTATTGTCCTCCGGTGGCTGGCAAGTAAACTCAATCCTTCTCATGCTAAGGAAGTTCTAAGGGGACTATCTAATTGCAAGATTAACAAGGGTGAGTTTAGAGTAAAACATGGTGCTACACAGAACCTCCATCAAAGTTCTGTACTTTTTCTTTTATTTTTTATTTTCTCTAACAAAATATATATATATATATATATACTAGTTATTATTTTAACAGTTTAAAACATGGGGTCCTCATATATTTTTCTAGAAGTTTGTCAGAGATTTCTCCTAAAAGTAAAGTATCGATGTATTAGTGCTAGTGGTTAAGGAATATCTGTGATTACATATATCTTCTGATAAAAACTCTCTCCATCTTTCTCTCTCTCTGTATGGGAGAGAATTTTCTTGGCATTTCCTACAGTTGGATTGCCATCTTTATGAATTTGGATCAGACATTTCGGAGATATTATTGGAATTTTATCTGTATACCTTCATCATATTCAAGGCTTACACCTGCATTATTATAGTTTATTATTCCATGATTTTTGTATGTGGAGTGTGTGCGAGAGAGAGTACTAGTTTATGTTTGCTCAGTATCTTATATCAGTTTGATTTTACTTAGAGATGCCAATCTCCAATTGGAGTATCTGATCCTGTAATGTATCTGGTGTTCACTTCAGTTTGTCCCCTGGTTTTCCCCAACATGAAGCATGTTGCAATGGGTTGTGGGAATGGGATAAGTAACCAGACTGCCTGTTGTACTGCCATGGAGAGCTATGTGTCCCACTTGCAAAAGCAGAGTTTCATAACCAACTTGCAAGCTTTGGATTGTGCTGCATCACTGGGCATGAAGTTAAGAAAATCAAATATTACTGAAAATGTGTACAGCCTATGTCATATAAGCCTCAAGGATTTCTCCCTCCAAGGTTAGTATGTTCCTCTAGTCCCCTTTTTAAAGCAAACTTTAAGCATTGGATCATGTTACTAATACAAAATTTTATGTGATTTCTCTATGTCAAATTGATTTGGGGATCGGATTTGTACAATTCAGTTGGAAATCAAGGTAATAAACTTGGTTCGTTTGTATTGTCCAATTATATTATACTGCTTAGCTTTACCAGAAAGGTTCACTGTAGCCGAAAGATGAAATTACACCTTTTCAATTGTTAGCATCTTTTTATTGTCAAAGTAACTACTTTTGACTTTGCCAATAATTTCATGCCAGTGCTTTTGCTCTTTTCTTGTTCTAGTCTTGTAAACTGGTCTATCTTTGTACTTTTTGCATCATAGTGTCTGGATGTCTTCTGCCGAGCTTGCCTTCCGATGCAACATTTGACAGTTCAGGGGTCAGCTTCCTTTGTGATCTGAATGATAACATTCCAGCTCCCTGGCCCACCTCTTCTCAAGGGGCAGGTTCATCATGCAGTAAAAGTATGTGTAAGCTATTAACGTTTATTCATTTGTATGGAATACCCTACTATTCCATTTGATATTAAAATTTGCAAGACTTTGTTGTTAATAAAGGTTGTATGTATGTCCTTTCTGTCATGCTCTAATGATTTTTGCCTGACTTGTTGGAATTTCAGATGTCAAGATTCCTGCACTTCCTGCAGCAGCATCCGCTGAAAGTGGTGAGTAGGTCCATTCATTTATCTTCATGGGGGATCATTTACTGCCTCAGTGCTAATTTGGTTTATTTGAGTAGTCCCCAAGTGCAGTATAGTATGTAAGGCATGCTCAGATATTTTGACCTTATGAAAACTCTTAAGAACAAGTTGCAAAACAAATTAATTGTGATTTTGTTTTTTCTTTTCCTCCTTTTGGGCTGTTTCTGAATTTAACTTTAAACATATGTGTGCTCTCATGTTCTTTAGGTCTGTACAATGATGATGTGATGCTTTCTCTACTCCTTGCTTCTGGGGTGGTCCTCATGATGATTTTGTAATAAGTATTCCCTTGAAAGAAACTTGTCGGTCCTTGAAGGAGGAGGAGTGATTAGTTCTTTGTTATGTTAGTCACCCCAAGCTAGTCGATAGAAGACCGTGAACTGGGGATAGAAGCTAGATCTGAGGTGATTTAATGTTTGTGCTTCCAATCCATATTAATTCATGATTCTTGCTTGCTTCTGTAATAAATATTTTTTTTTGTAAAGAAAATTAGGAAAGTGAGGGAGGTTATATTGTAGCTGACACTATCGAGATTGCATGTGTAAATTCAGATTGCAGCCTAAATATAAGTTTAGTTCTTTTTGCCCAATTAGTATGTGCAGTAATATAGCGGCTCCTTCCAGTCACTTTGTGGTACTGAATTATGCACAATGGACCAACTCAACTTTTGTCATGATAGGAGTTTTCATGTGCTTCATTTCTTATTGTCGTTCTTGTTGGCCCTGACCATATTTTTGCGCTAAAACTGCACCAGTATTAAGTCAGTGTTTGGGTTCAGAATTTCAGCGCTGTTCTAGCCAATTTTTCAGAACTGTATAATGAGACCAATCAATGCATGGGATATAAATCTGCACGGTTGGTATTATGATTATGGGGGAGTTTTTGGCTTGTATTTTATCATCCTGTAGGTTCCCAGAAATAGTACATTTTGTCTTTTACAGTACTTGAATAGTATGGACGCTGAGCCGAAAGCATACGCCTCTTCGTGTAAAACATTACAAATCTTTTTCCCCCTAACCTAAATATTAAATAGTGCAGCAAGGGGTGTAGGTTGTTTCATTTTCCCCTTGACAAATTCTTCTAGGCTTGGTTGAACTATTGTCATGTACAAAGGATGGGACGATTCGATCAAGATCCTCCTCCCCAAAAATAAATGGAGTTTACTAAAAGAAAGCAAGTAGGTGTTGGACCATCCAACTATGAGTTAATTTAATCCCTGCAGGGCCTGCATAAATTTCCAATATTTATACACTATATAAGTCATTTGGAGCAAGTGTTGTTGTTTTAAATTTAGAGGCAGAGAGCCAGAGAGTGATCAAGACGAGAAAATCGATCGAGCATGGAGAACATGGACAGCGATCAGCACAATGAAGCCTTGTTACAATCCGAAGAAGCATCAGCAAGAGGGCCTATAAGTTCTGCACTGGAAGATATACTAACCAACCCTGACCTCTCATACTTCCAGCGCCTTGGACAGGCTTCTTGGCGCGAAATTAAGACCCTCTTCTACCTCGCAGCTCCAGCCGTTGGGAATTACTTGCTCAGCAACATCACTGCAGTAGCCACCCTCATCTTCTGTGGCCAACTTGGCAATCTTGAATTCGCTGGTGCCTCTCTAGGGAACACTGGAGTCGCTGTCTTTGCTTACGGTCTCATGGTAATATTTGTCATAAGTAACGTACACATGTCTACTTATTGTTTCATATTTTTATGCACAAATTTTGTGATCCTAGAATTATAATTTTTATCGAAAATACGTGCAATATATATGCATGATGTTAATAATATTATGCTTCGTTTTGTGCATGCATAGCTTGGAATGGGAAGTGCAGTGGAGACATTGTGTGGCCAAGCATTTGGAGCAAATAAGAACGAAATACTGGGTGTATATTTGCAGCGAGCAACAATTCTCCTCACGGCAACAGCAATCCCAGTGATGTTCATCTACATCTTCTCCAAGCAAATCTTGATCGGATTAGGCGAGACGGAGAGCATAGCATCTGCAGGAGCACTCTTCGTCTATGGCCTAATCCCACAGCTCTTTGCCCTGGCTTGCAATTTTCCCTTACAAAAATTCCTACAGGCTCAGAGCATAGTGTGGCCTAGCGCCTGCATATCTGGCGTTACAGTTGTGGTGCACTTAGTACTTAGTTGGGTGGTGGTGTACAAATTAGGGTGGGGTTTGCTGGGTGCATCTTTGGTTTTGAGCTTGTCTTGGTGGATCATGGTGGTGGCCCAGTTTGTGTACATCTTGGTGAGCCCAAGGTGCAAATATACTTGGACTGGGTTTAGCTCACAGGCTTTTACTGGGCTCTGGGAGTTTCTGAAGTTATCCGCTGCATCCGCGGTCATGCTGTGCCTTGAGACTTGGTACTTTCAGATTTTGGTCTTGATTGCTGGGTTGCTCAAGAATGCTGAGATTGCCTTGGACGCACTCTCTGTCTGGTAAGACGAAACTCAAAAATCATTTGTAGTAAGTGGTTAAGAACAGTTACTGCTACACTTGAGGTCTTATGTTCGAATCCCCCCTCTCCATTATCGCTCATATCAACAAATTCATACTTTTTGCTTATGTGGTTTTGTTGTTGTTTAATTATTGGTACACTAAAGAGTATGTATAACTGAGTTTATGCAGCATGGCTGTATCTGGATGGGTGTTCATGATCTCTGTTGGGTTCAATGCTGCAGCAAGGTCAGATACTTATTCATATGTAATTAATTGAAATGGTACATACAACTATGGACTAATTATTAATTCATGAAATTAATTAGTGTGTGGTTTAATTAATGTGAAAAAAACAGTATAAGGGTGAGCAATGAGGTTGGTGCTGGGCATCCAAAATCAGCATCATTTGCAGTGGTGGTTGTAACTACAAGCTCCTTAGTCATCTCCTTAATCCTTGCCATAATCATACTTGCACTCCGCCATTACCTCAGCTATATATTCACTGCGGGCTCCACTGTTTCTAATGCCGTCGCTGAACTTTCTCCCTTCTTGGCTTGTACTCTTTTACTTAACGGCATCCAACCTGTTTTGTCTGGTAACTTAAGAACTATGTTTGGATAATTAAGTTAATTAATACGAAAGATGCTTGTTCATTAATTCTTAATTTATTTATTTTTTGAATTAATTAAGGGGTGGCTGTTGGGTGTGGATGGCAAGCAATCGTGGCATGGATTAACATAGGATGTTACTACATCATTGGTATCCCATTGGGTTGTGTTCTCGGCTTCAAGCTCGACTTGGGAGCTAAGGTACGAATTTAGGGTAGCGATTTTAACACTCGTTTTTCTTAATCATTTTCAGTTCAAAACTGAATAATTTACACTTTGGGGTGTTAAAATCACTAGCCATGAATTTATTTACATAACTTTGGGACTGACTTTTTTTTTTCTTTTTCCCATTGTGTGTGTAGGGAATATGGTCGGGAATGTTGGCGGGCACTTTTATTCAAACTCTTATACTCTGTTGGATCACATTCCGGACTGACTGGAATAAAGAGGTAACGTTGGCAAACTAGTATTTCAATTTGATTTTTCCCTTCCAATAAGTTAATCATACAATCATATCCATATAAATATAATTTGGAGGTGTATCAAGCATTCAAATGTAAATTTATTATTATTATTTTTTCAGGTTGAGAAATCAAAAATTCGTATAGATGAATGGGAAGACAAGAAAGAGCCTCTTCTCAATGAATAGACTCAAGTTTAGGAAACTTGGGACAAAACTCTCCTTTTAAAAATAAAAAAAACTTTGTTTGTCTGAGAGGCAATTGGCATGCCTTGTCTTTTTACATGGGAAATTCTAATTCATTATCTCACTCTTTCGACGCTTAAGTTAAACTCGAGTACTTTTTTAACAAGTTTTAACTCACCACCCCCTACAAGCACAACATAAAAGCGATATCGATGAAGAAAGACGTTTCCCGTTGAATGAAAAAAAACAAGCTAACGAAACAATTGAAATCAACATTTGAACAGAAACTTGTTTATATAACCAATTTCAACAAGAGGGATTCACAACTTCTGAACCGTAATCTGTTGCAGCAGCAAAACTGCCCTTTTCAATTTGAATTCATAATTATTGGGGCTTGACCTAAGGATTCATCTTGTGTGCTCCATTCCGATTCCCATTGTCCTTGAAAGTTGAAAATTATTCCACAACTCTAGTTTGAAAAGTGGAATTACAAGTAGATAAACTGCACAGTCTTATATTGCAGATACACCAAAAGTTTGTCCTCAAGCTCCACTGTGGCAAATGATCCATATGTAAAAAAGATAAGTGGTCTGCATCAAACCTCTTGGCCCACCTGCAGCATCACCTTCCATTCCATTTCATTCCCACCTAATAAATTGCTATCTTCTTTTTTTTTGGTAACAGTAAATTGCTATCTTCTCATCTACAACTACATACACATACCACACCCAAAAAAAGCAACCATACAAATCGTTGACTTCTCAATCATAAACTGCATCATGTTCAGTTGGCAGCAGCTTTTTATTATTTTTATAATACATACGTTATTTGGGGAAGGACGAATAGAGTATAAGAACTGCGATCATGTGGATAAATGTTCTTAACGACTTTTTAAGTTACGATATCGTTTTTAAACAAGTTTAATAAACCAAAATTCCTTTTGCGCTGCTGGGATTGATCAAGTAAAGGGATTTACTAGTTTGTTGTTGCAAAGAACAATTGATTGAGGGCTTATTATCACAAAACATCTCTGACGTTTACGAAATTATCACATTGCATCCCTAATGTTTTTTTGTATCATTAATGGTCCCTAACGTTAATACATGTACTCTTAAATAGTCCCTCTGTCAAAAAAACCGTTAAATTCAAGGGTATAATCGTCAAATCAATCCAAAACTATATAAAAAAAAATTTCTTCCCTTCTCTCTTCTTTTCTTTCTTCTTTCTTCTTTCTCTCCGCCTGGCCCCGCTCACTCTTCTTCTTTCTTTCTTTTTTCCTTCCCTTCTCTCTCTCTCTC